CACATCACCACGAGCTTACAGCACAAGGGAAATGAACTGAAGAGCACGATGTGTTGATTTACGGTGAAGAAGAAGACGAACGATAACGATTTTGGCGATCGAGCGGAGATGCGTATATGACTTGGATCGAGAGATTGAAAACTGAGATGTGAAGAAGAAGTTTTTGAAGATTTTTTATTTCTAAATTTTATTTGTTCACTCTTAGGAAAATAAACAAAAAGTTGTAAATCTGAAAAAATTGTATGAGCACTCTAGTTTGATAAAGAGATTCTAGTTAACAATAATTGGTTTCTAGTTACAAAAAACTACCCTAAGAGCATAAACTGCTCTATATTGATATTAAAAACTCAAAACTGCCTCACAATGAAATAAACTCCACTTTGACGCGTTTATATATTGAGGCGGCGGACATGAAGACAATATTTCAACGGAATCTCCACTTTGTGGGCTCCCCGTATCTAAAAAAGACAACCCAAAACCACTATATTGACTGATTGATTATTTTATCATTGTAACACTTTAAAATATACCAAATTGAACCGTACTCTTTATTTAATGCCATATGCTGAAAAAGAAACTTCTTTTTTTTTGGTAAGTGGCAGAGTCTCCTACTTTTTATTTATAGAAACTTTTGGAAATCGTTAAAATTTTAACAAAAATATCGCAACCCAAAAAGATTTGAAACTAAGAAGCTTTCAGATACTAAAGTCTACAATACAATTAAATCAAAGCATAAACATATGTTGTGACACGTTATTTGTTAATGAATCTAATCTTTGATAATTGTAACATTTAAATTATATTATGATCATCTTAAGTAATAAAATTATACTTCTTCTTTTTCATATTAAGTATTTATAGATATGAATTAAGAAAACAATTAATTTAACATACTTTTTATTTAAAAACATAACTATCTATATAATTAACCATATTTGAACCATATAAAAATAAATTATACTACAAAATTAATAATTGTTATATTAAAACTAAAATCAACACTTATTCTATAATAATTGTTTTTCTCTACAACGATAATTAACATAAAACAGACAGCAGAGGTCGCTAACGTTGCTATCTTTCAACATTACGTTTATTTATTATTTTTGCCGCAGTGTCTAGAAAAATAAATTGGTTTTTGACCCATCAACTATATATTTACCATGGAAATAGGTATAAGTTTTCAACGCTGACGCTGGTTGCAGCGTTTGTAAAAAGAAGGATGGTATACCAAATGGATCGGATGGAATGGAACCCACATAATAAAGAATCTATTTAGTAAATCATGGTTATGACTTTGTATCGTTAATCGGAAATCTATAAAATGGGGTCCACCACAGTTTTCTATCTTTTCCGTGAGTGCAACCGGGGATAAATACGTAATTAGCGGAGCCGGTGATTGTGCTACATAAACAATAGTACTAGTATTAAAAAAAGGATAAAACAGTTAAGTTGGTTGATCCTTTAAAAAGCCCAAAGCAAGACATGAGGACAATGAAAATAAAGTTATGTTGAATTTTTAGTCCGCACATCTTAGTTTTTTATATTTTACTCTTTTTAGAAATTATCATTTGTTTTTAATAATTAGTATTATATATTTTACATGGGTATTATCTTGTTAATTGTATATATTAGTTATTTGATATTTTTTTTCTTATACATCATAATTAAATTCAACTAGAATTGGGTAATATTTTTATTTTAGTTATTTTAGTTTGAAACCGTTTAAAATAGCATTTTTAGTTTGAATAAAAAAATACCTTATATTATTTTGGTACAAATATCCAAACTCATTTTAGATATATTGATTATTTGAATATTTTTAGATTTTTCTACATCAGAACCAAACCTACCCAGATTAAGAAAAACATGACTTAAAACTCACCCATAAATTTATTAAACCCATATGATAGCATAATTTCAAAATTCAAAGAACCCAATATTTGAAAAAAGTAATTTATAGCCGAACAGATATCCGACTATCCATGTTTAACTGATTATGTAAACAAATAACAAATTTATTTGTTAATCGTATATTTTTGTCACATATACAACAAATACATTCAAATATGTCAAATTATTATGTTTAACATGTAAAATAAATATTTTTCGAATTATTATCGTAAAAATAATTAATCAAATAGTTAAAACTAGTGAAAAATGTAAAATATGTAATAAACACTTAAAAATATGTAAATTGTGTTTTATACTTGTGTATTAAATGCTGATCTAGATAAAACAATAAATGATGTAATTAAAAAGGGAATGAAAATCTATAAAACCTACTAAGAAGTAGACAAGTATTGTTTTGTATTTTAGTTTTAATAGAATATATAGTAATAAAACACACACATCAAACTATCATTATAATTATTTTGTAGGCCTTGGTTTATGCTTAAAGATTTTTTTTAAACATATTTGCTTTCGTAAACTATATAATGTTTTTTTGCTTTACGACGAAAACAAAAACATATATAATTTTAAGCCCTATTCATTCCAATGTGCTATAAAATATTTATTTTTTATAAATGATATAAATATACAAAAATAATAAATTATATTATATTTCCGAAAAAATTGTTGCATGAGAAAAAAGATGAAAAGTTATAACTTTAGTGATAGCTTTAAATGATATGTCATCTAAGGTATAGATATAATTATACATTTTATTTTCTGTTATTGTATAATAAAATTAATAAAATTATTTATTAGTATTTAAATATTATTATAAATATATTAATTCAATTTTTATTTTCACAGTAAATATTATTCTATAATATTTATAGATAAAATATACAATAAGGCAATAAGTATAAAAAATTTGATAAAACAATAAATAATATTAAATAAGTTGATCAACTATATAATTAAATAAATTAATATAAGTAATAATTCTAGGGAAAATTTGGAAAATACCTTAAAAAGGAAATTATTTTGAAAACTGCACTGTGTTTTAATTCTTTTGAGAACTACACTTTTTCTTAAGTAAAATGACTAAGTTATCCTAATTAGAGATTGATAATTATATTAATAATTGAAGTTAAAAAATAATATTTAAATTAAATTTTAGCTAGATGGAAAAAATTCATAATCATTAAGTATAACAAAGTTATGTTTTGCTAATTGTATTAATCTTTGAACTATGATTAATTTTTTTGGACTTATAACTGTTTCATATTTAGTTTATAAAAATTAACTTCTTTAATAAACATAGCAATTACTTAATTGTCTTTACGTTGCAGCTATCTTTTGATATGTGAAAGACGATGGTTTGTTGCAACTTTTTTTAGATTATATGTGATAAGAATCATAATCTTTTGGCAGTCTTCAGAAATTTACTAAAACACTTAGTACATTATGCATCTTCTATCTCTTAGTTGAAATTAGTTATGCCATTTGGGATTATGTTTTTTTCGTTCTATTTCTATCATGTTCAACAGATAAAAAAATTTATATGTAAATTTTCATACTATTAGAGAAAGTGATAATTTTGTTACGTAAATATATGCTGTATATAAGATATATAAAATTTATGTGTAGGGATAACATTAAAATATCTTTAAAGATTTATCAATAAAGTTAAATGTTAAATATATAAAGTGACTTACGTACATATTTTGAATTATTAAAATATAATATTTAATTTCAATTTGGTCAAAAGTGTCTTATTATGTATATCAAAGTGTAGTTTTCAAAACAAAACTAAACCAGTGTAGTTTTCAAATTTAAATTCATATGCAGTGTATTTTTCAAATTCTCCCTATATTCTAAATATGTAAAATATACACACGAAATCAGAAATCATTGTATTTTAAAATTATTCAATTTAAAAAGAAAATAATTTCCACCTATACTAATGATACACCATCACATAACTTAATTTTTTAAACTTAATATATAGAAAACCAATGAATTATATGATTTACATGATAACATCCATAAATAATTAATTGTTTATCCTGGATAAATAAATTTGTAGATACATAGGTATCGAAATTTTATTCTGTGTCAAACTAAGTTTATAATTTTTCTCATTTGGTGTATAAAATAACAAAATTTGTGTAGATGTAATGTTATAAAAAAAAGTTTTGAAGAAGAAATAGATCATTGTCAAAAAAAAAGAGAGAAGAGAAAATAGATCATTATTTCATACACATTATAAGTATATACTTGGACTTGTTTAGCAAGTAAAACAATTGTATAGTAATTTTCGTCAATTCTCGGTTATAGATTCCTAAACACTGTTTATCAACTTTTAAAAGTTTTACGTTAATTAAAGAAAATCTTTAGTGTGGCTTTTAAAAGTTCTATGACTTGTTCATCATCACCTTTGTCTCTGTTCACATGAGTCGCTTCTGTTTCAACTCTATCCTCATGGGGCTGGGAGCGAATACGTAGCTCCGATGATTATGGGTTTTGCAATCACAAACCAAAAATACGGAAACGATGCATCCACTTTAACTTTCAATTATATCTTTTTTTTGTAACACTTTCAATTATATCTTAATATTAATTAAAAATAATTAAGTGGGTAATAAATACGCGCATACTGTATAGACAAAGGTATTTTATATTGGCAATTTTTTTTTAGTACCGACAAAGATAAACCCTTTTATACTGTATATATATATATGTTTGGAATGAATATAGCTTACATAATACTGAAAATAGATGAATTGTGATACAAACAACGAAAAATGTAGAAAAACTCTAAGGGTAATAAATCTACAAAAGTAAAACAGATAGAGAAGAAATTAATAAAAATATTGCATGGTTACCTAATTTTATTTTCTAAATTTGTATATTCAACTCATTGAGCCTAGTATAAAAACAGAGAAAAGGTTCCTGTCTTTTTCTCTCATTTTCTATAAAAGATAATATTAAATGAATAAAAATAAAACAGAATGTAGGGATTGATGATGCTTTTCCACGTATGTGTTCGAATCCAATCGCCTATAAAACTCAGGCATTAATCCATATCGACCACAACCCTCCTGTCTCTCCTCTTTACAGTCTCTTGACTCTCCGGCCCTAGCTAACTAGCTATGATGATATTTATTATTTTCACCATCCTAATCTCTTCAAGCCTGAGCCCTGTTTCAAGTAAATCAGCACCCACCTCCCCCCAAAATCCTATCAAGGAAAATCCCCACCTACCAAAACAAAACAACAAACAGAAGCCACCTCTACAAAGTGATGATTTGAACTTAAGCTCATCTTTGTCCCCTCCCCAGAGTGAAGCAAGTGCGCCGGTCGATTCCAACCTCGATCTTCATCCTTCCTATCTCTCATCGGCGGGCACTTTTTCACTTCCACCGGGTGATCAGAATGAAGTTACGGCCTTTTCTAGCCACGTAGCTCAGGGAGAAGACGACAGCAGCAGCGTCGTTGATCCGGCGAGTAAGCCCCCACCACCGACGGCTACAAAGTCCACACGTCGAACCTCGTCGTTATCTTCTCGAGAGACGGATACCTCTGAACAGGGCAATCCTCCCCTCAACTCTGTACGACCTCATCCGTCGTTCTCTTCTCCTCAAGGACGACGCAACATGCCGTCCAAGCATCGAAAGGGAAAGGAGCCGATGGGCATTCAGTCTTCTACTAGTCGTCAGCTAACAAATCCATCTCCGGTTCCGGTGGGGACACCATCCTCACCGCTTAATCCGTATACTAAGATTACCACGACTGGTGGTACGTCTTCGTGCTCGATTCAACCTCACCAATCTCCACATCCGTCCTTCTCTTCTCCTCAAGGACGACACAAACATCGAAAGGGGAAGGAGCCCATCTGCGCACATTCTTCTACTAGTCGTCAGCTAACAACTCCATCTCCCGTGAGGACATCTCAACAACCTCAACACTCTCCTGCACATCCGCTTATTCAGGGCCATCGAATCCGACACCAAACTCGAGCCTCACTTCTGCCTCTTACTGCTTTCACTGATGGCAGCCGTGATCCGAATGATACTCACAGGATCGATGATCTAAGTAAATGCATTTTAAACTATTTTTTAATGGCAGGCTTGAGCACCACAGGCGCGTGGGCTCAACAACCGGCGCTTAGTACAAGCATATACGTGCAGTGTGTCTTGAATCAATTAGCTATCTCCACTCTTCTACTTGCACACATCGTTGTTCTCGACAAAAACCAAGAAATGGCTCTCATCATGGTCCGTCTCTCCTTTGCTCTTGTCCTGACCTCAGGCTACCTGTCTGCCATGCCAATGCTAGCTCCATACCTGGCTATTATTATGCTCATCGTTGTTGCTATAGCCTGCTTAATTGCTCATGTTTTTAGCGACTAGCAACTTTACTTTCTTCCCCCGTTTTTATTTGCTTTTTAGTTTTGTTTACACCTGTCTGTTTTTTCTTTTTTCTTTTTTTTTTAATTATATGATTATATATGTGATATCACCTGAAGGTGATATATTTCGTCAAGATCGTGGTACCAAAGTCAATATTAACATAACTTTAGATTTCATTAATTATGATCGGAAACCACACAAAAAAAAAAACAAAAAAAAATCAAATCGTAGATCTAAATCTTATAAAAGAATTTGGGTTTAGTTAATGGGCAGTTAATGTTTTAAACCGAGAGGTTTGGCCCAGTTAATATAAACCGAGAATTCACCAAACAAAAAATTCATTTAACAGCGAAACCACTTTATTGTCACGTTTGGCCCAATGTCTGTTCATGTCGAGACAAACATGTGTCCAAAGTTACAGACCAACATGAGATTCCTTTAATCAGCCTCAATCCAAAAGTTTCCAATACATATATAGCCTAACACTGAAACAGATTATTAGGAATACGCCCAACTCATATATTGCTTGAGTTCCAGCTCAGTGAAAGTGAATTATGACAATAACACGTGAAGAAGATGAAGTTATAAAAATGCATACGGTAAATCATCTGTCTACTATAAATAAAGATTAAAGAAGCAGGTGACAACCAATTTGTAATCCGAAAGAGAAGAACAACGAGAGATAGAGAGAGATATCTGAAATGGAAGGAAGATTATTGGTAAGCTTAAAGATAGACGTTTATCTGAATGGGAGGATATGACACTCACAAAGCCAACTTCAACTCGAATGAAACTTGGAAAATTATTCATTATTGTACGTGTTGTGTGTTGGAGTAAGCTTCAAAGAAAAGGAAACTTGAGTTATAAGTTCCTAACCTAATCCTACCGAGTTATGGTTTACTAAAGAGATTAGGAAATAACTAAATATGTTAGAGCTCATTAGGTTTAGGAGTTATCTATTCCTATATAAGGAGATGCCAATGTGTGGCATAACTTATGAGTTTTGAGATTGAGAGCTTAAGTTTTTGAGTTAGTTTTCTTAAGCATTAATAAAGTGAGTTATACTTTATACGTTCTTTGAAACTCTAGATTGTGCATCAGGAAGTTTCTTGGAGTCAAGGAATTTGATTCCCTCTCAACACTCTTAAATATGCGTTCATGGTATCCATAACAGGCTTGCCACTGGTGACAGAGTTCTGAAGTTGTTAACTCATGATTACCAGAGATGGCAAGTAAGTATTGCCTTAATTCTCTAAGTTCCTTCTCTTTTATCTCGCATATGGTTCAGAACACTATTAGTTTCATTTCAACTTAATTTTTTATGATGTTTTTCTTTTTTGGCAGAGGCACATATATCGTTAACGTCCAAGCAGTCATTTTTTTCCCAGTTTGATATGGAACAGACACTCGTTGAGGCAGAAAGTTCTAACATGTAAGTTTTTTCCTTTCTATTAATACTTCCGTTAAAAACATTTTACCTCGATGGCAAAATGAATGTTTTCCATATGATTTATTACAACAGCCTCTCACTAACTGCGTCTTTTGGTCCTACTTTCTGTTACAAACTCAGGGTTACTGAAAAAGCAATTTGATTATATAAGGCAAGTTAGGCTATACCATCAGTCCTACGTTAATGTATTTAAGCTTTAAGTTTTTACTCATATCTTGTCTTCGTATCGCAACTTCCAGAACGGTACACTCCACAACTATGGGATTGAGTCATAAGATCATTAATACTTTCTCTCTTAAACATATAGTCTCATCAGCCTCTCAAACTCATACTATGAAGTGAGACAAAGATCTAATGATGTGCTTATTATGACTAATAAAATATCATGTTCCATTAGTGAGAAACAATTACTGAAGGTGGGTCTAGCTGTTTTACTCTTTTCATTATAGTTTGTTGGTTCAATGTGTTAGAAGAGAGGCAAGTCTTTGATTAAAGAATTGTCAATTTTCTTTGGAAATATGAGAAGAAGGTGGAAGGAAGTGAGTAAAACTTCAAGTAGTGGTAGAGGAATTGTATGTTGAGTCAATGATTTGGCCTGAAGATGTGGAAATTATCTGCAGGGTAGCTGCTTTGTTATCTCTCACAGCTCTATTTTGATGAAACTCGATAACTATGTAACGTGACAATAACGTTGCTTAATTTGACTTGGCCTTCAACTTTGCAGGTTCATATACTCCCCAATCTCAAGTCTTCACATTGTACAACACACTTTAACAGACAGATAAACACCGTTTAAACATTACATGAAAGTATGAAACGTTTAGTATAGTCGGGGCTAGCTAATTTGCATTACCCTGAAGATGATCCCAACACTCCAAATCCAATCATGACGAAGGTGAAGGACGAGGTAGCCTCTTGCCAATTTCCTATCAGACAAGAAAAAATCTACACATTACAAACAAGTTACACCCCTATACATACACCTGAAACTAACTATTATTCTTATCAGCAACCAAAGATCTCACTTCCTATCATATTGTTTTCATTCTCTAAATCCAAAAGTAATGAAAGAAACAAATCACAAGAGCTCAACAAATACAATACAATGGATCATAATCCTGAGGCTATAAAGAAATGCACACCTCAAACAGTTGGTTTATGTTATCTTCTGTCTTGGCTGACGTCTCAATAAAGAGGTGAGATTATTCATTGACTATATATACTCTTTTTAAAAGAACATGTAAATCGACAGGCACGGTCCTTGTTCTTAATATTTTGCAGATAGAAGAGATGAGCAAGAATATATAATAATATTTTATTGACTAATTTTTTTCAAACAACAACATGAAAGTAGAAACGTAAATGTAAACGGTCGTCTGACACACATGACATGGTTTTTACTCGATTTGCACAGAAGTTGGAACGTAAGATCCCACAAATGGCAAAAGTTGTATGTCAATACATTTTCTAAGATCCACTTTAGTGAAATAACCATTCTCTCCAATGATGCAACTTTGAAACATACTCTTGCCTTCACCGAAAACCACAGCGATGTTCTCCTCCTCCACAATGTAACAACTACTAGTCCCAATATAATAACTACGTACTGGATTCACATCAAACTTGAGGAAATGTCTCCAAGACACAGCATCCGGCTCAACTTTAGTGGTCACCCAAACATTGATCGTATTGATCCCTCTTATTAAAAACCCAAGCTGTTCTTCTCTAACCGTAGATAGAGACACAATATTATCTCCAATACTAGGCTCAATTGGCAGAGGCGGTCCAAACCTCTCTCTTGTAAAATCAAAACACTGTAAGTAACCATGTGATTCCTTATATCTATTATGATTAAAGAAGTAAGTGTCTCCTTTCAGAGACACACCAGAGTTAGATGAACGCTTATCAGGTTTAGAATCAATTACCCTCCATGAATTAGAGTTAGAATCGTAGATTTCGTATTGACCATCACCAGTAGTATAGCAATACACCAAGATTTTGAAGCTACCACACGAGGATTTGTCGTATCCAAAAGCAATATTATCCCAAGATCCGCCACTAGGCCACTTGATCCATCTTCTTTTACACAAATACGGATTCCAAACCACACACATTTTATGAATGTCCCTCACTACACATAGTAATAGGCCATTGCACTGGTAGACTTTCCATATAGATATTACGTCACCTGAATCTTCTCGAGTAACAAGTGTACCTTTACGCTTTATGGATAGTGCAAACTTCTTATCTCGAGTTTTGTAGAGATTGACGTTGATCAAATAAACCCTATGATCCCGCGTTATCATCAGAAACTCTTTTTTCTCGTGATGCTTTGCTAATGTGTTTATCTATGAAGATCTTATCTTTGGATACAGCGTTCCACTTTTTGCAAGTAGATCGTACTGCTTCCATAGATTTCACTTGGACCCTAGAGAGAATCTCCTCCAGCAAATCCATTGGAAGTTTGGATATCACCATCGTCATTGTTTCAACTATCTTCAGGATCAATCTTCACACCGATAAAACCTAGCTAGGTCAACCTTCAAATTCTTTGAGGTTGGTCCGTTGGTGATTTCTTCGAGAGAGCCTATTGAAAGATTGATATTGAAGACTAGACACAGAAACCCTAAAAGTTTAAAAGATATAAAACGGTGAAGCATCTGTCACGTTTTGTAAGTGATTGTTATTCGGCCATTCTTATTTTTGGCTCATTAGATGTTTGAGAATGAAGGCCCAGCTTTTGTAACTTTGTGATCATCTTTAGCTATCTCCTCTTATATACAAACCTTGGTATTTGGTTTGGTTTATACGATTAGTAAGATTTTATATTTGTATTTAGTTTATTAAAAAATAAATACTTGCAATTTCAAATAACTGCTAAAATAAATAACCAACTTACAAATTATCTGCTTACTAGGTGATTTTCCCGTGCTCATGCACGGATATGAATATTTATCAAGTAAATATATTGTAATATATTCTAATTTATTAATTTACATAGATATTTACTTTTAATTATAAATTAATTTATAATTTATATGTATAACTTATATTAATAATATTAGATTATTTTAATTAGACATATGATTTAGTAGATGTTATATTTAATCGGTTAGGTTGCTTGTTTTGGTCAATATTCGATTTGGTTACACTTGTGTATTTTAGATTGCATCTATTTTTCTGAATTCAACTATAATATTTTCCTTCTAAATATACTAAAACTTTAATTATTATTGTATTTAGATTGGTTATCGTCTTATATATGTAAATATATTTTAATAAGATTATGTATAACTTAATATATATTATGCTTATAATGAAATTTAAAATAAACTGAAATTTTGACACAAAATTATATAAATGAATATAACGATAATATTCTGAAGTCTCATTCATATATATATAAATTTTACAAAAAACTGAATTATAACAGTTGGTTAATAATTTTTTTTTCTATATTGATATTTTTGAGTCATCCTGTAATCTATATGTATAAAAATAAATAAATAATTATTCTAAAATTATATGTTCTTGTTGTAGTTAGATCTTTTATTTTTGATATAAGTTAGATTTGTTCCATTACTCGTTTTGTGAGTATATTTAGTTATATATATTTTTCTAATTAAATCAAATCAAATTAGTTTTATTTACCGCTTAATGCAAGTATTTTATAAGATTTTTAATAATTGGACATATGTTTATTTTTAAGATATATTAAAAAATAAAGTGACGATCAATAAGAATTTACAATCATAAATTTGAGTATAAAGATAAACATTTGAAATTTCATGAGAACATATTAATATTTACAATAATTAAATATTTATAAATTCTAAATTATTTTATACCTTAGATTTCTTAAAAGGTAAATTAAAATTTTTTAAACAATCTTAAAAATGAGAACTTAGATTTACTTGAGTATTTTGATTATTTATCTATTAAGTTCCATAAACATAAAAAACATAAAATTAAAAAGCAAACTATATATTAAAAAGAATTTTTAATAATGTTAAAATATTATATTTTCATTTCATTAATAGTGTATAGTGCTATGCTATTTAAAAAAAGATTGAAATTATTTGATTAAAATATTTATTTGTGTTAAAAAAAATATTTTTATTTTTTAATATCTCTTAAATAACCACTAAAAATGTTGTTTTATGAAAATTTCGAAAAAATATTTAATTTCATTTATATATAAACATTTTTATTTCAGAAATATTTCTTTTTTGTATATGTGTGTTTAAAAAGTAAACATAAATTAGAAAAATTAAGTAAAATCTTATTATGAGAAAAGGAAATACATTATTAATATCAATCTTATTTAATATTTTTTTTTATTAAGAGTATCTATGTAATTAACCATCGTGAGAGTTAACATGAGCGCGACACGTAGGAAACTGACTTCTCAAATAATATTATAGAGATATATTTAAATTAAATATTACTATTTTGTGAATTTTCCTTTTTTTATTAAACCATATTATATATACTTATATTTTCGTTTTTAAATAGTTTTTTAAATTTTATAAATGTTTCCTTTTTATTTTATATTATTATTTGGAAATTTTTAAAAAGGAAATAATATTTAATTGTATTTTTAATTCATTAGGGGTATCATAGTAATCAACCAGCGTGAGAGTTAACGTGAACGCGACACCTAAGAAAGTGACTTCTCAAATAATATTATAGAGATCTTCTTTTTTTTTGAAACATTATTTGCTTATCTTTATTACTTTTTATTTGTAAATTACTTGCAAGTTACTTGATAACTATTGATAAGTTATTTGATAATTACTGATCAATGATTTGATAATTAGTGGAAATTTAAAGCTAAATAATTTTATGATTTATAAAAAGATCTTATTGTTTTTCGATATTTTAATCAATTCAAAGAATAGAATAAAAAAAAATTCCAAATACTTATATAAATATATCACTTATGTTTGATTCACTTATGAAAATCAAAATATAAATGAATTAATACTTATGTAAATATAAAGAGTAAGTGTGCCCACTATTTTGCATAAGATCATTATTACTTTCTTTCTCTCTTAAACATATATAGTCTCATCAGCCTCTCAAACTCATACTATGAAGTGAGATTAAAAAAAAAAAATGTCATGATGTGTTTAGTTTGACTTGTAAGATATACATGAATAGGATGTTCAATGATGAGAAACAAACTAAAGGTGGGTCTAACTGTTTTACTCTTTTCATTATAGTTTGTTGGTTCAATGTGTTAGAAGAGAGACAAGCCTTTGATTGAAGAATTGTCAATGGGAAATGTGAGGTCAATGTGGAAGGAAGAGAGAAACTTCAAGTAGTGGTGGTGGATTTGTATATTGAGCCACTGATTTGGCCTGAAGGTGTGAAATTCTATTTAGACTATCTGCTATGTGATGCTAATAACATCATGTAATGTTAATAACATCATCTTATCTCCCACAGCTCTATTTTGATGAAACTCGATAAATATGTAACGTGCCAATACCCAACGTTGCTTAATTTGACTTTGGCTTTCAACTTTCCAGGTTCAGATACTCTCCAATCTCAAGTCTTCACAGTATATACAACACACTTAAACAGATAGAGAGGTACCGTTTAAACATTACATGAAAGTATGAAACGTTTAGTATATAGTCCGGGCATTGCCCTGAAGATGATCCAACACTCCAATCAAGACGAAGGTGAAGGACGAGGTAGCCTCTTGCCAATTTCCTATCAGAGAAAAAAAAAAGTACACATTACAAAAAGTTACACCATTATATATACACCTGAAAAATTATTCTTATGCTAATAAATGCAGGTGACAAGACATTGGGTTATAAATCCTGGGGGGGATAAAGATATACACACCTCAAACAGTTGGTTTATGTTATCTGCCGTCTTGGCTGACGTCTCAATAAAGAACATGCCGTTCTTCTCTGCAAGCTCCATACCATCCTGTTAAAAATAATTGGAAATGTGATACACGCTGGCTGAAAAAGTAAGAACAGTGAAAGTGGCAACAAAATGTTCAACGGAAACTTGTTGCAAAAACTCACATCGGTTAGTACTTCTCTTTTGTCATGTAGATCAGCTTTGTTACCAACCAAAGCCATAACAATATCTGGAGCTCCATGCTTTTGCAGTTCCTGTTAAGATTTAAAAGGGTAACCTAAATGTTTCAGTCATTTAAATCATAAGAAACCCTTTGAAAGCCAATTGAAAAACATACCTTAACCCAATACTGAGCTTTCTTAAACGACACAGGGCTTGTTATATCATACACAATGACAGCAACTGCAGCTCCACGGTAGTATAGTGGCGCAAGAGCAGAATACCTAAGAAAAATAAAAAAATCATGAACGAGCATGCTAAGGCGTTGAATTTAATTAACAAACAGAAATCTACATGGAGTGTGTTTAAACACCTCTCCTGCCCTGCTGTATCCCATATTTCAAACTTCACTGTGGTAGAGTCTTGCAAGGCTATTGTTTGGGACAAGAACGAGGCTCCAACAGTTACCTGAGAGACATAACTAATAGTTTTTTGAGATTTAAATGGCAGATAATAATAATCTAATATTCACTTACCTGCCACATAGTGTTAGATGGTCTATTAGATAATAATGCTTTACTTACCTTAGAAGTTGCATCAAACTCGCCACGGACAAACCGAAGGACAATGCAGCTTTTACCCACACCAGAGTCTCCTAATAGAACTAACTGCAATTCAAGTAAACACAAAAGTTAGATGCCTGACTTGCAAGAAAAGTGAAAGCAGAAAAGTCATTTCCTTCCAGTAGCATAAGAGTTTCAAAACACAGACCCAAGAGATATTACAACACAGTTTGTCCCTTGTACTAAGCTATGGAGAGAGAAAAAGTTGAGGGTTTACTACCAAATCTAACCTAATAATCAAATAAAAAAGCAAGACCCATAGATCATTAAAAGCAATGAACTTTCTTAGCTATTAAACTCAACGAGATCAAATAAAACAATAGCCAAAAAAAAACACTAAACACAAAGCTCACACCTTTACGCGTAGATTCTTAGCATCTGATGAAGCTGCATTCTCTGAGCTGTTAAGACCGTTTAACCCTCCAGAGTTCCTGTCTGAAACACACACATTATCTTAATGAATCAGCAAAACCTATTTGGTTTCTCTTAATCTTCACACAGAAACCCTAAATTAACGCAAAAAATGATCAATAAATTTCGTGAAGATTCTAATTCAACCCTAAAGGTTTCGCCTTTTCTGAAATTGGTATTGAGAACGAGTTCTTCTCGTTTAGAATCGAACACTAATTGATCAATTCAGTAAAACAGAGAAGAAGAAGAAGAAAAGGAAAAAGAAACTTGCCTGGAAGAGAAGCAGCACATCCCATGATGGCACCGAATCGAAGAAGAAGAACGTACGGTGAATCGGTGATTTTGACTTTCCCAACAATTTTATTATCGACCGTATCCAAAGTTCTTTAGTTTATAGAGATTGTGGCCGAAAAACCAATTTCGAATTTTATAAGAGACTCATTTTATAACCCCTGGTGTTCAAAAGAAAAGAAAAAATTTATAACCCCTTTTTTTTAACAACATTCGTATTTTATACTTATATATGTTTTTTTTTTTTTTCAATTTCTACAAAGTTAAAACATTACATATATTTTGAAAAAAAAAAGAGAGAAAAGAAAGAAACATTAAGAAACGTTGATATATGATTAGTGATCACAGTTTGGAAGGTTTTATTTTTGTGTGGGATTAATTAGTTTCTATTATTTCATAACAAAAAGAACAATAATGTTTTTGGGATTTTCTTGTTTGTTGGGATAGCATTTTTAACCACTTAGATACAACAAATATAAAAGTTTTGAAAAGAAATGTGTTCCACAGAGATATTTTTAAGGTAAACTGACAATGAATTCATCACGTTTAATCTTTAAGTTAATTTACAAAAGTACCCTAATTCTCACCTTCAATTAGTGAACTAACCCTGATTTGACACTTGCTTTTAGTCGGACCATTTTACCCTTCCGTGTTTCGGTATACTACTCTCTTAGACTCACACGCCTACGGGTAGCTGTGTCAGAGCGCCTCCCACGCGTGTTTTATTTCCCGTCAACCTTTTTGTTTTCCAGTAAAATCTTTTGCATGCTTTTCTATTTCGAAATTTGAATTTCTTCATTAATTACTGTAACTGTTAAAATTTATCCCACAACTCTAAATAGTAACCTCCCTCTGCAAATCAACTTCCCATCTTCCCACTACTTTCAATCTTCGTTTTTAAACGGAAAAACTTCCGACTTTCTTCTTGAAAAATCTCCGATGGCCAATCTCAGCCTTCCTAGACGCTATTTTGCTTGTGGTGATGAACCAGTAGGCGACAGAGTTGTCTCTTACCATAAGTATCGAAGAACAGAGCAACTAATTGAAGCATTAGACGAGGACGAGTTAGCATTTTTCCACCGAACTCAATTCTCGAAGGTCCTCTCTCTCGATGATAATCCTCCATTTTCCGGCGCGTTCTGTCAATTTGTCTGTGTTCGTATGTTGAAGACCCGCAAGCTCTACGAAATTTGACTTGTTTTTGCTGGATACCCAATAAGGATCTCTCTTAGAGAGTTTGCAATAGTCACCGGCCTCAGCTGTGATAGGGTTCCTCCATCAAGGCGTAAGAAAAGGAAGAATCCTCAACACGAGAAGCTTTATTGGAATGACTTGTTTGGGTCGTTAAAATCTTGTAGCGTGGATACGGTGGTTGATATGCTTAAGACAAGGAAGGTTAAGGATAAGGATACTCGCCTCAAAATCGCGTCTTTAGCAATCACCGCTTCTATTCTAGTCCCAACCTCCCACTCTCCGAAGATTCTCCCTGATCACGTTGAGATGATAAGAGATCTTGATGAGTTCCTCGCTCTCCCTTGGGGAAGGACATCCTTCCAAAATCTAGCTAATCACTTACTTCAGAAGGATGCAGTCTCACCAGCGCAAGATTCGTTTGCCCTGAAGGGATATGTTGAAGCCATTCAACTTGTTCTTATCGCCGCTGTTCCAGATTTGAAAGAAGAGGTGGCTCACTCTGCCCCCGTGGTTGTTACTCTTTCCGAAAGCGAGGGTGAGATGGATGCTGAAGAGGAAGCACCGCATATAGCTGAGGAAGGGGATGCCGAAGATTTGCCATCCACCCAAAAATTTGTTGCCAGGTTGCGCAATGCGAGAGAACTGAACACAGAGTGCCAGGTTAGTGTCCCAAAAATAATTTTAAACGGAAAAAGTAGTGATTTCGAATAAAGTATTTGTTTACCGTTAATACGCAGAATACCAATGATGAATGATCGTTTTCTATTACTGTATATATGCTCATCCATTTGTTAAGTATTAGTAAATAATCTTCGATTTGTAAACATATGGTTGACATCAGGCGTAAATTCAAAATTTACGCCTGTAAATAAAGAAATTACCCGTAAATATCATTTTTACCTGGTATTGAAGAATTTTCCTGACAAAATCACTATTGCCAGCAAACATTAATTGTTATTTTATTACGTTTACGTAGATGGCTGTTAGATCAATACTGAGCGACCCTGACGAGGAGTGGTATCTACAACATGACTTCTCCTGGCCCGACGAAGAAGATGATCCCACCGTCGATAATATGGTGAAGCTCATCAACGAAGGGTTCGAATTTGACAACAAGATGTTCAAGGGAGGTATAACATCTACCGACCTTCAGAAGCTAAGGGGACATAAACAAAANAGATGTTCAAGGGAGGTATAACATCTACCGACCTTCAGAAGCTAAGGGGACATAAACAAAAGGGTAAACAGCCAAAACACAAACAAGTTCCAGCAGATTTTGGTGATCAATCAGAGGTTCCGCAACCGCGCCAAGTCGATGTTGATCCGATTGCCAACCTCGTCTCATGGAAGATTCAGGAAGAACTTGCCTCAGTTGAGTCTCGCATAGCTAAGGCCGTGGACCTACAATTACAGTCCAAAATGAAGGCTATGGAGACAAGACTAACCAAATGTGTTATAGACAACATCCACGCGATGAAAAGGGGAGTTATAAAGGCAATTATAGATTACCTGAAGAAGACAACATCTTCAACGCCTAGCATTTCAGATGTCCCACAACAACATCCCACAAACACAGCAAGCCCTTCGTTGAGTGGACATGGGGAAGCGCCTGATAAAGGAGTCGCTGAACAGATGGCGGTTGACGATCCTCAACCTCTTGTAAACCAGTCCATCAGGCGTATTTTAGATGACCTACAAGCATCATCACACAATCAAGAGGTTTGCTAATTTTTATCTTCAATTACTTAATTAATTGATATCCCTAAGAACATACCAATCAACCTATGATAGCAGGCGAATGTAGAAGGGAATGTCTCTCAGCAGGATGCCAACACAAAAGCCCCTACAGAGCACGAGAGAACAGAGATTCTGAACACGGAGGTTATCTGCTAAACCCTCTCATTACCGCTAATAGATGTTTTTCCCGTAATTTTGATATTTTGCTGTCTTCACAAAATTATATCTTCTCATTAATCTACAACCATCCATGACGTAGGATGCTGGTAATAAATCCCCCTCTAACCATGAAGCCGAATCAACATCGGGCACGACAATCCCTGCTGTCTCAACCTGTCCATCCATGGTACCGCTTATCCCCCAGTTAGACATAACCTTTTACACTAACATAAGCTTCTAATCTCAACATTAATACAGGTTGATCCTTCTGGAAATGTCAATAATCAGACACTCAGAGACCCCCCTTCTACGGATCCCACTAACGAAGAAGCCATCTCTGATAAGGTTTCCGGGAAAATATTTATTTAGCGTTTACTAAACAGTTTACCCGTTAAGGATTATGTTTACATAAAACAATTTCGTTACCGTTATATGTGACCACTATAATCCTTATGTTTCCAGGAATTGGAGCAATGGGCAATGACGCTGGCGACTGCTATGGGAACAAGTACCTCACAACCAATACAGGTAATGAATCATCTACTAATATTGATATCCTGTTCTCAATTCTAATTGTATATGATCTTACATTGATCTTACATTGTCCTAGGAGGAATCATCTCAGATGGATATTGAGCCTCCCTCTTTTTTTATTGGCCTTACCCAATTAGAGGCATCAGATCGTGTTCTTCAGCCTGCTCCACTTACTGTTGTGCTACCTCCCACTGGTCAATCATCTGGCACACTTGACACACAAAGAGCCCAAAGACAAACAATCCCCCCAACTGCGTTACAAGATTATGAGCTAGACCCCAAGAGTAAGCCTGGATTCCGCGTCCTTCCAGACCTTCACAAATTGTTCGACAAGATGAGGCAGCTTATTTTACCCACGGGGTTAGTGTACTTTGACTATTTACTGGAAATATTTATCTTACCTGCCAACATTTTATTTAACCGGAAATAAAATATTTTAACATGTTTAATTATTTTCTAGGTTTATTCACTTGGATGGTCCATCAGCTATCACTGGTGCTGAGTTTCTGGACATTGCTTTTAGGAAAACTAGAATGTCTCAACTGGTAACACTCAATCTTTAACTCCCATCTACATATTAAAGTAAAATCTTATATACAAACATTAAATTTCCGCAGACTGTGAACACTGTAATGCGCTTCCTGGCTGCTGAGCACGAAATTCCCGGCAAGTCTATCAAAGTCTTCGACATGAGCCTCCCTACTGCTATAAAAAACATCTACCCAAGGTTCGTCAAGATGGGTGTGCTGTTGCGTCCGAAATTTAAGTTCACTGATGATGTGATTCAGCGTGTCCGAGATAACCCGGTAGACTATATCTACTTCCCTCTATATGTCCAGCCGTTTCACTGGATGGCGGTTGTTGTGGACATAAAAGCGTGGGATATACAAGTTCTTGATTGCAACGTCACCTTGAAGACGGAGGCTATGATCAAGAAGGAGGTCAAT